AGAGGATGTGGGAGACTTTTCATCTAAGCATTTCTTCCTGTGCATCTCCCACTCCGTGATCCTTGTCATTTAGATGTCTGTCTTTGATGGACTTTCTTTGTGTATCTGTATCACGTTTAGTCTTTCCTCTGATTCTTCCATTGGTACTGTGCTGCTCTCTTTGCATATGACTTCTTCTTCTAACACTTTGTGTCTCCCCTGACTATTTTGATTTCTAACTTGTTTCTAAATCTTTTCCGTGAAGTTTCTTTGTCTAGACCTTTGTCTGTAGCCACAGCTTTTCTTTCTTGTTTCTCTCTGTGTACACCTTAATTCTTCCTCTTTTATCTCTCTTACTCCCTCTTTTTTTGAGAACCCATGGCTGCCTCTCTGTCTCTGAGTCTGTCAGTCTTGCTGTCTCTCTCAAAACCATAATCTTCTGGACTCTCTGCCCAACCCCGTGGGCTCATTCTGAGATTTCCTCAGCACCCCTGCCAAACGCTCAGTGCCTCCTTGATTGGTTCTTTTATGCTCCACTTCCCCATCCCAAAGTTGTTCATCGTGCTCAGACAGAATCGCTGGAGGACTATCCATCGATTTCCATTGGCAAAGGTCCCACCGGAGAGTGAGGCATGGAGAGAATGCTGGGAGAACTCGTGTGATGGTCCCTCCTTTGTCCCCTAATGTTTCTCCAACCTCCACTTACCAGTTCCTGGAAGATGTGATCTGTGGTCAGTGATCTTTCAAGTGAAACACTTGAAAGAATCAACAACTGGAATCTCATCCTACTGAATAGTTTCTGCACATCTAAAGAAATCACCAGCAGAGTAAAAAGATAAACCACAATCCTAATCCAAAAGATAAGCCTCATCCTAATCCACCAGGGCTTCCCTGATCACCTCTTATCTACACAGGATGGCAGCAGTCCGAGACACGAGGTAGATTGTGAAGATGTCCCCATATTTCTCCCACAGCTCTGAAGACAGGGTCCACATCTCACAATCTCACCTTCGGGAAGGTTTCCACTGTTACACTTGGATCTTAGCTTCCACTGTAGCCTGAGTTTTCTCAGCTGTAGACCCATGAGGAAGAGCAGAGACTTGGACTCTTTGTCTCCTTTCAAGCCCCACAAACATGCCCTTCCTCTAGTGTACTTGTCTCTTGGCTCTACCAAAACCTTCTCAGCCTTAAATTTTATTATTTGCACTAATTCCACACACCCAATCTCTAGAACCTCTCCTTTGCTCACCACTGGAACAAAATTTAAACCCTCAAATCTATGAAAATTTCTCCTCCAATCTACTCTCTCTCTGTCCATTCTGAAGGGATTCTAGAAGCTTATGTGAGTGGTCCTGAGGGGGGCTGGAATTATAGAATTCCCAAATTCATCTGGAGAGTCCCACCCAAAGCTGGATCCTCAAACTGCCCTGTTACCTGTGAGCTCTGTGTACTTTTTGCCACCACTTACCTTCTTGCTGCTTCTCTTCCCATGCCACCTGATGGAAGGATTTGAGAAAACCCTTGGAGTCTATTAAAAAATGTTCCCCAGGTATGGTAGAGGCCAAGGTCCAGGTGGAAGGCTGCCATGGGGGTGGGGCAGCCTCAGATTGAGAGTAGCAAAGGATAATCAGGATGAAAAAGAAGATGAAGTCACACAGCTCCATGGTCCTCTTTCTACCAAACATCCACACTTCAGTTTTCCTTCAAAAGCAGGTTGCTATAGTTGTTGTTTTCCTTCCTGTGGTTGGTGGAGGATTGTGTACCAGGAATCTATCTTGGCAGAAACCCTGGAACATCTCCAGAAGATAGAGGCAGCCAAAAATTTCCAGCCCTCACAGAAGCCCAGTGTACAGCATACCAGGGGTGAGTCCCAAAGCCAGCCACCCCTTTAGAAGTGACTGGCTAGGAAAGTCTTCATGGGCAAAACCCCCAATATCCAACAATTCTCTTGGGAAAGTGCAGGACGTGTGGATGCTGCTTCCATAGTGAAGGTGGCTCTAGGCTCATCTTCATGAGCAAATGTCATGCAGGGCAAGAGGTCAAGAGTTACTGGAAGTGAGATTTGGAAACATTGGGCCCTTCGGGGATAGGAATTTTTTTGTTATCAATAGGAAGTGAGACATGGAGAAGGTGACATGCTCTGAAAGGAGAGGTCTGGCTCCATTGGAAGGAGGAGGTTAAGGGGTAGCTGGTTTAGCCAATCTTTCATCTATTGATTCATCAGCAAATGATTGCAGCAGGTGTCTTAGGATGCACCCTGCCCCACGTGCTGAAAATTGAATAGTGAAGAAGACAACAGGTTGATATTTGAAGGAGCTGGCATGGAAGTGTGGGAGGTTCTCTCACAAAACATCTCCCTGAAAAGGCCACACACACAAAATGGCAGGGATCACCTTCTGACAGGGTGATCAAGCTTTTCAGGTTTATTTGATTCTCAGGAGATTTAAAGCAAAATATGAGGGAATCCATGGTGCCAGTACAGAATCACGCAGCTCAAGAGGTGGAGTCCAAGTGTGCCTTCCACAGAGGAA